CCAAAGTACCAGCCCCAGCCGATAGTGTCACCTGCAGTTCAGTGTTGCTGTTGCGTCCTACATGTGACAGCCAGAGGTGTTAATGCACACTGTTCATCTGCCCGCTGTAGCCTTAGAGATGCTGCCAGTCTCAGCTCCGCCTCCCAGTTACCTGGCCTTGCCCCATTGTTTCCCAGCTCCATAGCGCACCAGTTTCTTATCCTCTGTCACATCACCCTACTTCTCTAAAGCGGTCCTCACAGCCCCAGCCCTAGCTCTCCCATGTCCTCTTCTCTGTGGCTAGCCGTAGCCCTTCCCGGTCCGTTTTCTCCTTTTCACAGCTTCCTTGCTCTGTTCTGGTTTCACATCCTCTCCTGGCTTGGTCTCTATAGCCTGTCACCATCTCCTGAACCAGTTTGTATGTTAGTTCAGTTTGTACTTAGCACTCCCGGCAGGGTCCATGTCCTGGTCACTGTTGTCTCTAGCACCTGAGACAGGAGCTAGGACAGGAAGTAATGCCTAGTACCCAGGTTCACCTCTATCTACTGTCTGTTCTCCCCTCTTCCCAAGTCAACAGCCTCCATGAGATGGCAGGGTGGCTTCTGTCCTGGTCCCTGCTGTACACCTGCATTCGGTTTCTTATACAGTGATTGGAACACTGTTTCTTTTGAGGTTCCTAGCATTATGGGGAGTGGAATCCTGCACAAGAACCCAGCACTGACTTCTGTTCTCATCTCTTCTGTCAGGAGGGAGATGACAAAATTGAGTACCGAGCCTGGAACCCCTTCCGTTCCAAGCTGGCAGCAGCAATCCTGGGAGGCGTAGACCAGATCCACATCAAACCAGGGGCAAAGGTGCTCTACCTTGGGGCAGCCTCAGGCACCACCGTCTCTCATGTCTCTGATATTGTTGGCCCGGTGAGTAGACAGGTGTGAAGGTGGAGGGAACTAGGCCTGGCCGTTTACCTGCACCGTGTGTTGTATAGCCAGGTTCATCCTCCATTCTGTGAGAGGGACAGCTTGAAGCAGAGTTCCTTAAAACTGCTCCCGGATTCTGGATTGTAAGAGTTGTGAGCGTGGGAGTGTGGCCAGTGTTAAAATGACCCGGAGCTGGGAGCATAGAGACTAAATGAACTATTTTGGTTGCCCTCTTGAAAAATGTATGTCCCAGGGCTGGAAGGGTGGCTTAGTCACTAAAGTGCTTGTCACACAAGCATGATGACCTGATTTTGATCCTCGGAATTCACTTAAAAAGCCAGGTGTGGTGATGTGCCCTTGTAGTAACAGCACTAGGGGCAGCAACAAGCCGATCTCTAGGGCTTGCTGATCATCCATCAGGGGGTGGTTTAATGGATAAGCTCCACACCAGTGAGAGACGTTTCTCAGAAGTAGGATGTATGGGGTTCCTGAAGAAGAACACCTACCATTGTCCTCTGGCTTCCACATACATACACACAGAATATTCATGTCCCCCAAATATAGTTTTCTGTACCCCTCCCCATATTGGCGGTTGAACCTAGGGCCTCTTGAATGCTAGGCACATAGGCTGCCACTGAGCTACATCCGCAGCCCTTGGATTCTACTGGGGGGCTTGTGTTTCTGTGTGGCAATACTGGTTCCTGGTGCAGAGAGCGCCTGGTTCTTGGGTATCCCACTTCATAACCTCTTGCTGGTGGCTGAATTATAGACTGTTTAATTTGGTGGGTGAAAACCCTGTGCATGGCCAGCTATGAAAGCACACACATTTGTAGTCCCAGCCTAAGCTACGTAGTTAGACCTCGTCTAAATACAAACAGCAACAAAACTCAAGACTTCTGTAGGTATTTAATATTGTGTGGCATCGGTGAGACACCTGAGCTCTCCTGAACCAGGGCTTAACATTATGGAGAATAAGATTGTTTTGAAAATTAAATGTTTCCTAAGTGCTGGCCCATTGCAAATGCTGTTGGCTCTGTCCTTCTGGGCTCTTGGGTCAGATAAATTAGGATCTTGTAGCTTTGTTGGTGGTGAATAACCATGGCAGGTGACTTCTCGTCTCCAGGCCCATTTATTCATCTGGACTGTGGACATAATGACAGTTATTCAATTTGGGTTGGATTGAGGGTCTGAGCTGCCTGCTACAAGAGGCACATGAGCCCAGTTTTGGCAACCATGGTGGAGAGCAAGTGCGTGCTCATCACTGTCGGGTTTATTTTAGGATGGTCTGGTCTATGCAGTTGAATTCTCCCACCGTTCTGGCCGTGACCTCATCAACTTGGCCAAGAAGAGGACCAACATTATTCCTGTGATTGAAGATGCTCGGCATCCACACAAATACCGCATGCTTATCGGTGAGGGGCCTGGGGGCAGCCCAGGGAAGGTAGGCTAAGCACTGCATGTTTCCCAGGAGAGGCCAAGGGAGCCTCATAGCAGATGGAGTTAGAGTGAGGAGCTGAGGGTGGAGATTGTGTCTGCTCATCTGACCTCCTTCCCTGAGTCCCATGCACTTGCGCTCCTCTCTACACGCTGCCCTTTTACACCGCCCTGGTTTGTGTTCTTTATATTATCTGATGAGATTCCAGCCCTGAACACAGCAAGTATGACCCATTGGCTTTGTTTTTTTTAAACTCCTCAAAGGTCTAGTATAAAAGTGGAAAGCCTCATGAACTCCCCCAGAGGTACTTGATACTTGGCATCTGCTTTTCCAAATTCTTAAAGGATGTTTTCATTCCATCACTTTTGTTTATGTGTTAACGTTTTAAATCATACTGCCTAAAAACATCACCTTTTCATTTTTTTTTTTTTTTGAGGGTGTTATTTTCTTTTTTCTTTGCATTTTCTCGGTTTACTTGGCCCCTTTCTGGTCCTTTTTCTCATTTGACAGCCCTGCCCACGTCTTGCCTTTAACTGCTCGCCTTTACCTGTCTTTTTGATGACATGTCTGTCTCCCCCCAGACCCGGGAGCATCTCGAGGGCAGGGTCTGACTCGTCTCTGTGTCCCCCACGCCCAGCCCAGGGCTGGCCACAGAGTAGGTGGCAACCATGTTTACAAGAGGAGTGGATGAGTGATGTGACTGGGTTCTGGCCCCACCTCTGGGGCACTTTGGAGGGAGGGTATGTGGTGGGGAGTGAGACTGGAGGCAGGAGACTCCCAGGAACCTGGTGGTGATGGAGCACAGGCCCCCATTGGGAGGCTCTGGGAAGTTCTCCGGTGGCTTCTGCTTGTAACTGCTGTCCCTTTCCCCTAGCAATGGTGGATGTGATCTTTGCTGATGTGGCGCAACCAGACCAAACCCGGATTGTGGCCCTGAATGCCCACACCTTCCTGCGGAATGGAGGACACTTTGTGATTTCCATTAAGGTATGAGGCTTGGAATGTGAGGTGGGGTGACAACTGAGTGTAAGGTGGTGGGTGGGTGCTTGATCTTGTGCCTGAACATGTTACTTAGTCTAGTTGACTCAGTTTCTTCATTTATTAGTCCGCTTTTAAGGGCTGAAGTAAAAATCGATACACGTAAAGTGTTTAGAACAGATTCTTATATAAATATTAAATAAGTGCAAGGTGCATTTTTCAAAACATTTTAATTTGAAATACAAAAAACTCGCAGGCATTTTCACCATGTTCAAAATTAGCTAGTATGTTTGCTGCATTTGTTCTGTTGTTACCAGGACATGAAAGAAAATTCCTGAGGTAAAACACTGCCTTAGATAATCAGAACATCCTGTTTTCAGTCCAAGCCAAATTAAAACTTCGGTAATGGAGTTTTATAATTGCGAAACCCTGGACTCCAAACTTCTAATGTACTTTTAGCTTAAAACAACGCACAGACCTCGTGTCATTTCTCCTCTGTAGGCCAACTGCATCGATTCCACGGCCTCAGCAGAAGCTGTGTTTGCATCCGAGGTGAAGAAGATGCAGCAAGAGAACATGAAGCCCCAGGAGCAGCTGACGCTCGAGCCCTACGAGCGGGACCACGCTGTGGTTGTAGGTGTGTACAGGTAAGCACCAGGATAGACCTCTCCCTTACTGCAGCCTGAGCTCCCTAGACCCGGGGAGCCAAAAAACGGTGACAACTCGACTCCCTCTGATCTTCTCACAGGCCGCCTCCCAAAGCGAAGAACTGAACCCAGAGCTGTCCGGATTGGAAGAAATGTGTGTTGCTACTGTTGCACGTGTAGTTTTTTTCTATTAAAAGACTCAACTGTCGCTCCTGTCTGGTGCTGTTTGCTCAGTGGCCGAAAGACGCATGCGCCCTTGACCAACTTTATGCGCGCTTGGTGGGGGGTGCCTTGGAAAGTTTCATCCGGTCACATGGTGCATGCTCCATTGATGGCTGCTACGCATGTGCGCGGCTCCGCGCCCTTAAGGCGCAGGCGCACAGTACTCCCTTAAGTCACGTGAGCGGTGTGGGGGCGGAGCCGGGACAGGGGGGCCGGTTTGTTGTGGTCGCCATTTTGCTGGTTGCATTACTGGGTAATCGGGGCCCTGGCTCGCCGCGTCCACCGGACACCCTCAGCCAGTGGGCAGGTCTGAGCTCGGACTCCCCGAGCAGTTTGAGTCCCCTTACCCACGCCCTCAGGTAACGGTATGGCGACGGGCGGGGCGGCACGCTTGGGTGGAGGGCAAGCCGGGATCCGCCCTGCCCGTCCCCGCGAGACTTAGCAAGGCAAAGGAGGGGGCTTCGGGCCAGTGCAGCGGAGCCCGGCTAGTTACAGCTGGATTTCTGGAAGGGGCTGAGCCCGAGGGAGCCTTCTTGAAAGGGAGTCTGGGAGGGGGCAGCCCGGCCCCACTCCCGCCCTTTGTTTGGGCTCGGCTGCGCTGGCCGCTTCACTGTCGCCTAGCAACAGCTGCCCTGAGTGCTGGTTGGTTAAGCTCTTGGCAGCAACAACCAATGGCGCGGTTGTTGCCATGGGAGGTGCGGCCTGCCGGGCTCAGTTGGGCCCCGCCCGCCGGGACTCCACCGGCCGGGGCGGGCCTGCCGGGTGGGGGGCGGGACGCCAGGGTCCCTGGGGGCGGGTGGCCACGCGGGGCGGGGCTGGGCCGTAGGGCGAGGGTTAGCCCGCCCCTCCCCCGTCCACCTGCTGTCCCCTTCCCCCGCGTGCCCCGGTCTGACCCTCGTCCCCTCCTCTCCCCGCCCCCCTGGCGGCGGCGGTGGCGGCGGCTGCTGTTGTCACCCACCGGGCCGCCTGTCCCGCTTGCCCTCACCGCCGCGGGGCTGGCCAGGCCAGGCCGGCCAGGCCGGGGACAGGCGGCCACCTTCTCATCACCGCCGCCACCGCCACCACCACCATGCTGGCGGTTCGCCCACCGCACTGGGGGCCCCATCGCTCCCCAGCCCCCCGTGGGCCCAGCGCCAGCCCTGACCCGGGTAGGGGTGGGAGCTGGGAGAGCCGGTCCTAGTGTGGGAGGGAAGGGCCGGGGAAGAGGTTGTTTGTCCGTGAAGCCCCAGTAAAGGGGACCTGGAGTAGCGAGGCATAGGACAGAAGGAATCTGACATGGGGGAGGCTCTTGGGGGAAGATTTTATTCTAGAGGACACTTTGAGAGAGCGAAGTCTGGTGTTATTTAGGGATTTGGCTATTGGGCCCTTCTAGGAATAGGCTCAATTGTGGAATGACCCGGTTTAGAAATACTGGATAGAGGGGACAGCAAGGACCCCAGTGTAAGGGAGAAAAAGACAGTGACTCTTAAACTGTTGAGAAATGATACATTCCTCTTATTTTCTTTAGGAGTAGGGGTCTTGGAGTAATGGGAAAATCCTAGTGGGATAAATATAGACTACTTAGAAAAAGGTCTGGGAGCAGTCTTGGTAGGGTGTAGAGTCGGTCCTACGGGAAAGTGTGCCTTGGTGGTTGAGACACCCATAGCACTCACACAGAAAGGAGTTCTCAGATAACCTTGATTTTGCTGGGAGGTCCACAAGGACTGCTACGGTGTGAGGGACCCTGGAGTTCTCTAGAGTGGAAAGAACTAGAGAGTGGACCAGATTTGAAATGGGACCTTTAGTGTGGCCCAGAAGATACTGATGTTGAGGGAAGACCATGTGAGGGCGGGGCTTTATCTGAAGGACTCGGGATGGACACCAGCAGAAATTCAAAGAAAAGATGAATTCTACTGCCCAGACTCTACATGGTTTCTGTCTTCTCTTTTGCTCTCCTGATTGCTGGCCTTTTTCTGTCCTTCCTGCCCTTGTCTTGTACCCACTCTCCCCCACCCTTGTCTGGCTCTAACCATTCCCCTTTATGTTTTCTCATGTTGCCTCCTTTATTTGGCCGATCATTTGTTGAGGAGCACTGCTATGCCAACCCACTTGCCACTTGTCTTCTGTCCCCTCTGCATTGCTACCTGGTGCCCCCCTGCCCTGCCCTGCCCTCTTCTTCATGCCCACCTCTTTGCTTGGCCCTGACCTGCTTACCCTCTTGTTCCATGTTGTCTCCCTACTTCCTACCTGTTCTCAGGTCTCAGCGGCGGTGGCAGCCGAGGTGCAGGATGCGAGAAGGCGCCCCCCGGCCGGGCTCCCGCTCCAGGCCTCACACCCCTGCGGCCCTCTGAGCCCACCATGGCCGTCCCACCAGGCCATGGTCCCTTCTCTGGCTTTCCAGGGCCCCAGGAACACACACAGGTAGGCATTCAGCTGGCTTTCTCATCTGCCTGGGGATAGAAAGAGACTGAGAATAAAAGGGTCTCCAGACAACAGCATGATTGTTGGAAGATCTCTGAGGATGTTGGAGGCCTCCTGATACTGGAAGTTTCAGGTGGAGTTTGGGAAGTCCACACTTACTCCTGCTATGAGGACTGAATTACTGAGCTTCTCCATGGCCCTCCGTCTCTCACAGAGTGGTGTCCAGGGTTAAGCAAATTAGGTGTAATGTTTGTCAGGCTCAGAACTGTTATCGGCACACAAGAGACCAGAACACAGTCTTAGTGTCCACAGCAAGACAGAGGTCTGGAGGGTATTAGGAAACCCAAGAAATCTAGCCCCAATCCAAGAGCTTTAGGAACTGGGCACACTCATTTGAGGGTGAGGACATGGAGATACAGGGAATTCATCAGTGGCCTGGTTCCCGAAAATGGTGGTCTTGGGTGCAAAGAACCCAGGTTTCTCATTCGTGTGTTCACTGAGGTTCAGAAGGAAATAAAGATAGAGAGCAAACGAGCTAACCAGGGGCTGGGTGGAAGGTCAGAGGTAAACCATTCTCTTCATCACGCAATGAACAGATACCTGGGGAACCCCAATGTGTGACAGGCCCTACATGGTGGAATCTCTCCTTGGGGAACTTCTACTTTTGTGGAGAGCTGGGCAAATGTGGGCATTGTCAAATAGCCATCAGCTTTACCGTTCTCCCTGGAGGTTGGAGATGAAGGCCTGTGCCCAGTGTCTGCCCCTCTGCACCACAGGTATTGCCTGATGTGCGGCTACTGCCTCGGAGACTGCCCCTGGCCTTCCGGGACGCGACTTCAGCCCCCCTGCGCAAGCTCTCAGTGGACCTCATCAAGACCTACAAGCACATCAATGAGGTGGGTGGGGAATGGGATTCCCTGGCTGGGTGCTGAAAAGGGCCCTGGCTGCTTGCCTGGGTCACTCAAGGGTCCGGTTTCCTGGCTGCCTGAGCAGGTATACTATGCGAAGAAGAAACGGCGGGCCCAACAGGCACCACCCCAGGACTCGAGCACCAAAAAGGAGAAGAAGGTCCTGAACCACGGTTATGACGACGACAACCACGACTACATTGTGCGCAGTGGCGAGCGCTGGCTAGAGCGCTATGAGATTGACTCTCTTATTGGCAAAGGCTCCTTTGGCCAGGTGTGGGACTCCCCCACTCATCCAGTGCCTGGGTGCAGACAACCACTAACCTTACCCACATTCCCTCCACCCTAGTGGTTCACTTGCTGCAAGTCCTGTCCTGGGCCAGTCACTCAAGCCACTTAGTTCCCCTGTCTCAGTTTCTGTAAAAGTATAAATAACAAGACTCCACACAAGGGAACGGTGGTATTTTGTATCCAGTACAAGGGATGTGAGTGCTGGGCTGTGAGTTGTTAGTTGGAAAGGTGTGGCTGGTGGGCCTCCCACCTCCCGGGGTAACACTCCATGTCTTGACAGGTGGTGAAAGCCTATGATCACCAGACCCAGGAGCTGGTGGCCATCAAGATCATCAAGAACAAGAAGGCCTTCCTGAACCAGGCCCAGATTGAGCTGCGGCTGCTGGAGCTGATGAACCAGCATGACACAGAGATGAAGTACTACATAGGTGAGGCCTGGGCCTGAGTGAGTGCAGGGTGCCATGGTAGAGCCAGAGCTAGTAAGGGTCTTCAGGCTTCTCAGCCTCAGTGCATCTCTTGCTGTAGGCAGGATTTTTCTTCTCTGCTTACTTGATTAACATTGGTCAGTGTTCATCCAGAGCTCACTAAGGGCCAGGCTCTGTTGCAAACTTGACATTAATTACCTCACCCCAGCCCCGTGTGGAATAGGACAATTTTGTGCACATGTTAGAGATAGGAAACTGAGGCACTGAGTGCTGTCATGTACATAAGGTGGCAGTTTATACACAACAGGATTAGTAATTTGAGAAGCACTGGCCTCTGGAACTCTGACTCTCGATGTGTCCTAGTCTTCAATTCCTCTGGAAAGGGACTGACAGACTCTTAAAAGGACAGCCAGTGTCCCTTGCCACAAAGGTAGACACAGCTAAAAGGAAAGCAGGTTCATTTGTTGATTCGGGTTTTGGTGGTGGTAGTACTTAACATACTGGGAGTCAAACCCAGTGCTTCATATGTAGGCAAGCACTTCACCCCAGGACTACATCCCCGGACCTCTATTAGTTATTGTGAGATGGAGTTTCACTAAAGTCATCCAGATGAGCCTTGAGCTTAGACTCTCCCTGTATCTGCATCTGAAGACCTTGGTCTCCATGCCTGCCCCTCCCGCCCCCCAAGGCCTAGCTCAGTGTTATAAAGTGAGATGAGGAGGCATGGAATCTTCTAAAGCTCTAGGAGGAGGTGACGGTGCATTTTATTAACCTTTGCAGTGCTGGAGGCTTGAACCTAGGGCCTTGTACTTGCTAGGCAAACGTGCTACCACGCTTTGGCCATCCCTTACCCTAGGCTAATGTAACCCCAGGGTTACACCACCCTTTGTTTTTTTTTCCCTGTGTACCAAGCTGGCCCTGAACTCATCCTCCTCTGCCTTAGCTTCCCAAAGGCTGGGATTTAGAAGTCATGCTTACTATCCCCTGCTGGCAGAACCTTCCTTTTGGTAACAGTTGGAAGGTTTGAGAGCCTCGAGAACTAGCATGCTTTGGGAGTCCACTGAGTCCAGTGCACAGACGGCTGAGGGCTCACCGCAGTCTAGCAGAGGTGGTTACTATGTGGCCCCCAGGCTGGCTGCCCTGTCAGTCTGTTTCTGATCTGCTGCCTGCTGTCCCCCCACAGTGCACCTGAAGCGGCACTTCATGTTCCGGAATCATCTGTGCCTGGTGTTTGAGCTGCTGTCCTACAACCTGTACGACCTCCTGCGCAACACACACTTCCGAGGGGTCTCGCTGAACCTGACTCGGAAGCTGGCGCAGCAGCTCTGCACGGCGCTGCTCTTTCTGGCCACTCCCGAGCTCAGCATCATCCACTGCGACCTCAAGCCTGAGAACATCCTGCTCTGCAACCCTAAGCGCAGTGCTATCAAGATCGTGGACTTTGGCAGCTCCTGCCAGCTTGGCCAGCGGGTGCGGCTCTGACTCTGGGCAGGGCCAGTGTCTTGAGTGGGATGGGGTAGATCGGCTTCGTTTTGGCCCTGAAAGCTGATGCCTGAGATGACACTGGGCATAGGGAGCCCTGGGGCCTGGAAGGAGGGGGTCAGAGATGAAGGGGGCAGAGGAGACCCAAGCAAGGAAGAGAAAGGGTGACCCTGAGGGGCAGGCAGCCTCTCAGAGTAGTGGAGTTGAGGTCTGAGCCTGAGCTCTGCTTTGCTGACTTGTGCTCTTGAGGGCACAGGCCTCTTGTGAGCAGGTCGCGGGGTTACACTGCTGTAGTTCAGTATGGGATGGCCAACCTCTATTAAACAGAAGGGACCAGAGCTGGGAGTGGAGACAGTTAAAGCAGGTCAAAGACTGGAAGCTGATGGGCAAGACAGTGACTGGTTTGTGCAGCCTTGCTGAGAACCTAGGGCCTCCGTCCTGTTCTCAAGCAGGGGCTTGTCTTCAGCTGCGGGGTCCCGTGGAACCAGCAGGGGAGCTAGTGCCCTGACTACTGTCCCCTCCCCCCAGATCTACCAGTATATCCAGAGCCGCTTTTACCGCTCACCCGAGGTGCTCCTAGGCACACCCTATGACCTGGCCATCGACATGTGGTCCCTGGGCTGCATCCTTGTGGAAATGCACACCGGAGAGCCCCTCTTCAGCGGCTCCAATGAGGTGTGCCCCTGGAAGGGGTGTGCTGGAGGTGGAGGGGTGGAGCCTGGCCGCCCGGCGCCCCTGACCGCCGCCTGCCCGCAGGTGGACCAGATGAGCCGAATTGTCGAGGTGTTGGGCATTCCGCCCGCGCCCATGCTGGAACAGGCACCCAAGGCTCGCAAGTACTTTGAGCGGCTGCCTGGGGGTGGCTGGACCCTACGAAGGACAAAGGAACTCAGGAAGGTGCGGCCCCTGCCCTGTGCCACTTCTCCCTCCCTGGGTGGCCCCTCACTCACACTTGGGGCTCCCCTCTCCCCGTGTCTTTCCCTGTCTTTCTCTCCCCCTTGTCTGTCCTTTCCTTCTTCCTCCCCTGACCACCCCATCACCTACCGTCCTACCCCACAGCTCTTGTTAGCTTCTCTCTTCCTCTTTTGTGCCTCTGTTTCCCCGTGTGTGTTTCCCTGCCCCTCCTGCCCACTGACGGCCACTCTCTTGCCCCCCCTCCGACCCCCTCCCTGCCAGGATTACCAGGGCCCCGGGACACGGCGGCTGCAGGAGGTGCTGGGCGTGCAGACGGGCGGGCCCGGGGGCCGGCGGGCGGGGGAGCCGGGCCACAGCCCCGCCGACTACCTCCGCTTCCAGGACCTGGTGCTGCGCATGCTGGAGTATGAGCCCGCCGCCCGCATCAGCCCGCTGGGCGCTCTGCAGCACGGCTTCTTCCGCCGCACGGCCGACGAGGCCACCAACACGGGCCCGGCAGGCAGCAGTGCCTCCACCTCGCCGGCGCCCCTCGACACCTGCCCCTCCTCTAGCACCGCCAGCTCCATCTCCAGCTCTGGTGGGTGCCCAGTGTCAGATGTGTGCTGCAGGGCCCAGCCTGGGAGACCTCACCAGTGGGCCTCTGTCTTAGAGCCTTAGAGCTTCCAGACTCTGAGCTCCAGGATGAGGTGGGGTGGGACAGTCCCACGTGACCAACAGGAGCTCCGAATCGAGGCTTGAGATTCGGCCCCTAAAACTGACTCTAGCCTCCCACACAGCTCTGACCCTAGATTTCAAAATTGGTCTCTTGGAGCCTTCACACGGGCTCTGGCCTCAAAATGCAGCCTTGGGGTCTAGGTGTTGAACTGGCTCCCTGCGTCTTATCAGCTCCGCCCTCTTTTCTTCCCGGTGCTTCCAGGGGGCTCCAGTGGCTCCTCCAGTGACAACAGGGCCTACCGCTACAGCAACCGATATTGTGGGGGGCCCGGGCCCCCCATCACCGACTGTGAGATGAACAGCCCCCAGGTACTGAAGCTGTGAGGCCTTGGAGGTGCGTGGCAGGTCCTTGGAACTTCAGGATCTCAACACCTACCAATTCCTTTGGGTTTTGTTTTGTTTTGTTTCTTAGGTTATACCCTCCCAGCCTCTGCGCCCTTGGGCAGGGGGTGATGTGCCCCACAAGACACATCAAGCCCCTACCTCTGCCTCGACATTGCCAGGGACTGGGGCCCACTTACCCCCCCAACCCCGATGCCTTGGACGTCCCCCATCACCAACATCACCACCACCCCCGGAGCTGATGGATGTGAGCCTGGTGGGCAGCCCTCCAGACTGCTCCCCACCTCATCTGGCACCTGCCCCCCAGCACCCGGCTGCCTCAGCCCTCCGGACTCGGATGACGGGAGGTCGACCACCTCTCCCACCCCCTGATGACCCTGCCACTCTGGGGCCTCGCCTGGGCCTCCATGGCGTACCCCAGAGCACAGCAGCCAGCTCATGACCCTGCCCCTCCCTGGGGCCCCTCCTGAAGCCATACCCCCCCCCCCATCTGGGGGCCCTGGGCTCCCATCCTCATCTCTCCCCTTGACTGGACTTGCTGCTACCCAGCTGGGGTGGGTGAGGCCTGCACTGATTGGGGCCCAGGGCAGGGGGTCGAGGGAGAGGGGTTTTGGCCACACCCTCCCCACTAAGACTGGACCCTTGGCCCCCTCTCCCCCCTTGTTTTCTATTTATTGTACCAAAGACAGTGGTGGTCCGGTAGAGGGGAGATTTCCCCTCACCCTAGGGCCCTAGGAGGGGGTGGGGGCAGGTAGGGGGAGATGGCCTTGCTCCTCCTTGCTGTACCCCCCAGTAAAGAGCTTTCTCACATGCCTGCCTGAGCGTTTGCAGGGCCTTGGCTCCCTCTTCTGACCCTCAGAGGCATGGTGGGGAAGGTTGTGTGGGGAAGGGATGCTTTGTGGTGTGGGTATATCCCTCCTGGGGACATCATACTTCTTGGTGCAGGCATGGGGCAGCGGGAGGTTGGCGAGCTGTAGAACCATAGATATATCCTGGGTGCAAAATCCTGGCCCACATTTGCCTTTTCCGGGGTAAAATCCCCCCCTTCTGGCCTGTTGCTGGGAATTGTAATGCTCTGCCCTCATCTGTCAGGGCTCACATAGAGTCCACCCAGGAGAGGCTTTTTGTATCAGGCAGGCACCCAGTAGGCTCTGGGTGTACTCGACAGGCCTTCCTTGGTACTATCCAGACAGGCAATGGGGGACAGATTTTACCCCACCTGTGTCCAGCCCCATTCTGGAGTCATTGCAGAATATTGAGATTCTCGGGCAAAAAGACGCTCCCTGACTTCCAGGTAAGTGGTTTTTGTTTCATGGCAATTTGGAAATCAGCTGTCTCCCAAACAGCCTTGCAAAGAACCACCTGGTTCAAACTGTTAAGAGCGCTCGCAACGGGCGGGCGCGGTGACTCCTGGGAGATGGAGTTCTACAAGGCCTGCTCTTAGCTCGCTTTTCTTGGGGAACTACAAAGCCCAGAAGTCTCTGCGCATATGACTGGGGACTGTTCAATGAGCTTTCTGGTACTAGGGCCCGGATGTTGGCGGGCCAGTAGGACGGGTGGTGATTGGATGATGTGCAGGGGCGAGGATTGGGGGGGAGGGGGGTAGTCAACCCGCCTTGCAGGGCCTGGGCGGGGCAGGGGAGGGCATTTGGCAGAGGCCGCGGTGAGCAAGTTCCTGGTCACTTGTGGGTTACTGGTGACGGTGATCATTTTGAGAATGCCAGTTAAGATTTATCGGGATCTTTGGATATCTAGGAAGCTGGACTTTTTTGAAGGTACTGAGGCACAATGAGAGGAAGGTGCACAGCCAGTTTTTCTGAAGTATGGAAGTGGGTTGCAGAAAAAAAACTCGGGTCTGCCGGCTTGTGGCAGGCCCCTAGACAAGAGCTGTCTAGGGAATAACAGGGCAGGGGCGGTGCTGAGGCGGCCAGGAAAGGACAGGTAAGCTTTCCAGACAGCTGAGTTAACAGGCTGAGTGGAAGGATGAGGTAGAGAGGAACAGATAGAGTACCCCGTGCCCCATTGACAGTCTCGGTCTTGTTTGGGTTTTTTTGTTTATTTGTTTTGTTTTTTATGTGTTTTTGTGGTTCTGGGGACGGAACCCAAGAAATCCCAGATTCTAGGCAAGTGTTCTACACACCCAGCCTCCCAGTAAAAGACTTTGAATGAACAGGCCGTTGAAGGCAGGAACTGCAGTGACCTCTCCGAGTTTGGGCATAGTGAGGGCAGATGGAAGTTAAATTACTTGCCTAAGGTCACAGGACTAGGAAGTAGACTCAGATTGGTGCGCGTGCGCACGTGTTTGTGTGTGTGTGTGTGTGTGTGTGTGTGTGTGTGTGTGTGTGTACCAGTCATTGATTTAACAAAGTGTATTTGAGCCTGGAGGCATCAGCAAGACCAGATCATGTAGGCCCCATAAGGAATGTAGACTGGACATGGGATTTCATTTGTGTTTGTGGTGGAGAACCATGCTCCAGGCTGACTGACTACCTGATACCTTCTTGGGTATCTCCAGGATACTCTCATAGTTCAGGCCATGCATGTCTGTGGCATCCTCTTTGGTCTTCCTGCCCTCACCATTCCCCATGTAACTAAGGAAACTCTGAGCACCTGCTTGTCCCTCCCTGCTGAGAATCCTCCTGGACTCCATCTCGCTCAGGGTAAAGCCCACGTCTTTTCCGGGACCTGCGGGGCCCTTCACCATCTGTCTCTGCTCCGGCTGCACTCGCCTCAGGGCCTTGGTGCGTGGTGTTCTCTTTGCTCGGACCATTTGTCTCTAGACAGCACTGCCTGACCACACTTCAGAATGACACTGCTAATGTCCCTGTCCACTTTTCCTTGTGTTGGTCATACCACTGGCACAAAATGGAATTTATCTTGTCAACCGTCTCCCCTTCCAGGAGCCCTTGAACTCCTTGGAAGCAAGCATTTGGGTCTCTTTATGCTTTTTTTCCTACACAGAAGAATGTGTGGCACCCAGCAGGGCTCACTGTCAGATGAGCACTTGTAGAGCATAGATCTACATTCCAGCCTCCTGGGGAGTCCACTCATCCCCTCTGTACAGCTAACCATTTCTGAGCGCTCAAGACAGTCAACAGGTATTTTGTTTCTGCAGTCTACAGTGTGGAAATACAACAGAGAAGAAAGCATAGCTTCCCTGCCCTGAAAGAACTCAGTCAGAGAGCACAGCAATGGGAAGGGACAGGAGCAAGAGCATTGAAGGAACACTTGATAGGGACTTCTAATTTGGCTCCAAGGAAGAGATTCCAGGCCATGGGGTTGGCATCAGCTCTATTCAGAGAAGTGTGTGTGTGTGGTGATTGGCACCCAGAGGCTGAGGTGGAATAAGGGCCCATACTTTGTCCATCCCAGGAGAACCATGAGTCCCCACTGCCTACGTACAGAGAGTTGCAGGAGAATTTTAAACAGTGGGACAGAGAGTAAGGTTAGCTGGGTTGGGATTTTGTTTGGTTTTGCTTTAGATTTGTTTATTTTATGTGTATGAGTATTTTGCCTGTGTGTATGTCTGCACCACAAGCATGCCTGGTGCCCTCAGAGGTCAGGAGAGAGCATTGGATCCCCTGAAACTGGAGTTAGAGATAGTTGTGGACCACTGTGGGTGCTAGGAACTGAACCCAGGTCCTATGAAAGAGCAGCACGTGATCTTAACCACTGAGCCAACCCTCCAGGCCCAGTTGTATGTTTTTAAAGGTTCCACTGATGGGTGTTACAATGGCTACACTTCAAGACAGTCCCCATTCTGCTGTTTCTACTCAAGATGGGGACTCTCCTCCCCCTTGAGTACTGCCTGGACCAGTAATCTGATCAACATAAGAAGAGGCGCTGAGCCCAGTGCCTTCGCAGGTCTGGTGGCCTCTCCCTTCACCCCTGGTGACCTGACTTCTTTATAGCGAGAGGTCCGGCATCCACCCCAAGTATTTCAGATGTGCCAGGTATGTGCATGGCATCGTGGATCTTCCAACCCAGCCGACACTACCCTGGAGCAGATTTGAGTCCTCCTCAGGCCACTCCCCCTGAGCCTTGTCCATATTCCAGAATCATGAAATAAACAATTGCGGTTTTATAATACTGTTTTAGGATGATTTGCTACTCAGCAATAGCTAACTGAAGTAAGGCAATATTTTCAAAATCATACAATGGTGAAATTGTATAATTATGTGATAGCTCATTGAATTCTCACAGCTAAATAGTGTTGTCATACCCATCCTACAGACGAAGAATCAAGACACAGAGATGTCACTGAGCATTGCAAGGTATCTTACCCATAGTCCATCCTATGGACTCAATCATTAGTATCAACACTGAGTTTGTCAGAAGAAGTTTGTGGTCTTCATAAATGTTGGAGAAGTGGTGGGCAGGTGGATGGGAGCATTATTAACCAACTTCTAGGAGTGTAGTTCTAGGCCATTTCCTTGGGAAGAGCAGGCAGTCCTTGGTATTAGTGGAGGGCCGTGGAGTCAGCTTGCTTCTGACCTGCTCATAGGGAATCCAGCAGGTTGTTGTAGATTGAGCCTCCTGTTACTAGGAAGCCATGACATCCTAGTTGAGCCCAGGGTCCTGGTCAGTGCTTGCTGATTCATCCAGTCGCAGGCACTTGCCACTTTGTGAGCGCTGTCGGGGTGCCAGGGCTGCAGCAGCAAACAAGTGTCCCTGTCACTTCAAAGCCTGCATCCCAGGAGCGAGATGAATGTTGATGAGATGCTGGGGGAAAGAGCCGTGGACACTGAGAGTGGAGGACAGAGACGGTGAACTTTATAAGGATATCTCTGAGGAAAACAGAAGACTAGGCCAGGACGGGGGAAGCCGTGTATTCTTAAAGAAAGGACATCCCTGTCGGAAAATAAAGCCAGTTCAAAGGCCCCAGGCATGCTTGGTGTGTTAGAACTGGACAGGAGTGACGGGGACAAGGGCAAGTCCATGAGCAGCTGTGGTGAGGACTTGACATTGGTCCCGAGTGGCATGGAAAGCATCAGTCCCCTTGAGCTAGACCTGTTTTGGGGGGTGCATAGGATGAACCATTGATGGTGCCTCAGGTGTGTGGATCTGAAACGGGCAGGAAACACTTCCCTGGAGGGTATCCCCGTCGAAAGTGGAGTCTAGCAGGCTGTGGGCTCAGAAGGGCTCAAGATTAGGTCAGGATCATTCTAGGCCCAATTTCTTCTTTCCCACATGCATTCCTGTGAGCCAGACATAGTGAAAGTCTGCCAAGTTGGCCATGGCCCTGCCCTCGGGGGTCTGCAGCTTTCCCAGCCTCTGCCTTCACAAAACACGTCAGCCAGTGTGAAGACAGCCCACCTGCAGACAGTGGTCAGGGCTGAGCGGGGGAAGCAGGCTTGGGCAAGGCATGGTGGCAGGATGGAGAGGTGCAGGGACTCTGGGAACCCAGAGGCCACGCCTGGGCCAGTGTGAGGTGTCAGAGAAAGGAGATGGGGTCTACAGGAGTCAAATGGAGTATCAGGACCACTGGAGCAAGTCAGTGGGCTGGGGACACTTTCTTGTTTGTAATTTTAGCTTTGTAGAAAAGTGTGGAGGGTCATGCAGAGGCTGTCCCCAATGCACCTGGCTCCCCTGGTGTCAGTGTCTTCCATGATAAGACACACCCACCAAAGCTAAGCCACTCACACTGCCTGGCATTCATTTAACTCCAGTTTCCTAGCCACACCTCTCCCAAGTGCCTTTGAATGTCCTTTCTCTGTTCAGGATCTGGCCCAGGAGGCCATATTGCATTTCACATCACACTCTCGTTCTGGGGCAGTTTCTCCAGGACAGTTTTGAGAAATGGTGGTCAG